GGCACCTCCAAACCTCTTCTTGAGCAAATGCCTGAGCCAAGGCAGGATTTGGGATAGTACCCCAGGAAAGAGACTTTTCAAGCAGAGATTCAGTAGCAGATTTACATTCTAAATGACCTGAGCCCTGGTGACCAAAGCACACCCATCACACTGAGCAGTGAACACCTGACAGACCTGGAGCAGCTGGACACCAGCAGAGTGGCCAATGTGCATCCAGCTGCCAAGAAACCAGCAGGTGACAGGGCAAACCAGACAGTCAGTGGGCACCAGTATGAGCCACAGGGGGCCTGCAAGGCACAGACACTTTCTGGACTTTGTTAAACTTCCCTACAAATTAAAAGGAGCAATTTAATTGCTGAGCTGATCTTTATGAGGAAAATAACTGTAAACTAAGAGTGCATGCAGCAGTCTAGAAAAATTCTACTTTAAATGGARGAGGAGCTGGGTTCAAATGCCCCTTGAAAAGGAAGGAGGAGGGGAGATGATGGCATAGGAAACAACATAGATTCTTAAGATTTCCAGAGGGAAGTGGGAGGTAGATAGTGAATGACTTGGCACTCTGATGAAAATATTCCTCCTGGACAGAGTATACTTGTCTGAAATGAAGAAAAATAAGGCAAAGAGAGCAAATAAATCTTCTACTGGCTGGGAAAGAAGCTGAGATCATCTTACCCAACTGCAGAGTTTCAGTTACCAGTGTTGGTCTGACACCCCTGGAAATCTTTGTGATCTGGTTTTGGCTAGGCTGGAGTATAATAAAAAACAGAAGCCCTCAGAACCACTCATCTGCTCCTGAGCTCCCGAGTGCCTACCCTGAGTTTCTTTATTTCTTCCAAGAATTGCAGGTCAATTATAAAGGCTTTGTTTCCAAATCTGTATGTGAGCATACACTCATCTGAAGTACACGGCAAGTTTAAAAACCAAATCCAAACCTGTCCTAGAGAAGAAAGAGTGTTATCTCTGCCTGCTGGGAGGTCCTGACCCACTTTGCTATTTATTTTGCCGTGGATGACACTAATGAGACAGAAAGGAAACAGGCATGTATTATTAGATCCTAACACACCCATTAGASGGATGCATGAAGACCTGAATTGGCCAGCTGAGCCTGTAGTCAGTCAAAAAGATCTCTTTTTTTTCCTGCTAACACGGCCTGAGTTCCTATGACAGGCCTGTCGTAATCACTTCAAATACTTATCACTTTTAGACACTCAGGAATAGCCCCAAAATATTTCAACATAGGGATATACTTGAGGTTTAATAGATAACACCAGGAAAAATAGCACAGCAAACATTTTTCTGATTGCAATACCATCTCCTTTGAAGCTGCAAGAAGCCTGATGACAGTCTGTCTTAGCCCTCCTAATCATAGGGGTTTTTTCCCCCCTGAAGTGTTTACGCTGAACTAAAGCAAATCAGTGCATGGTGGAAAAGCACTTACACCCAGAAACCTGAAGAAGCAAAGAATGGCTCAGCACTTAAAATTACAGCCCAGAAGATTTTTAGAAGCTGCAAGGAGGCCACTAGAAGGCATGGCAATGTACTCATCCTTTCATTGTGCCTAACTTAGTATCTAAAGGCAGCTTCCTGCCAYGTGAGTGCAGGACCAATCTCCATAACAACCAGTCACATATGGCTCTTAATCACTCCTGCAAGCCTCCAGTGCATCTCCAGTTTCAAAATACCATTATAGGATCTTCCTAGTCTGYTGGTTTTCTGGAGCAGGGATGAACCACCACCACTGCTTCCCTCTTCTGAACTCAGAAGGAAGTAATGAATAGGAATATTGCCATTCCCTGTTTTTACAGACAAACCAACCCAAGGAGAACTAGCACCTTGCCCAAAATGAGACCAGCAGAGGCAGATTTAGGAGCAAAGATAACAAACTCAGTCTCCATTTCTTTCTGTCCCCAACCTCCCCAAAAAAAGAATTAATCAGATCATGAGACCTGCTTTTAAATGGTGTCTTGGCATAATGTCCCTCCCAAGCAGCAGAGACAAGGAGACATCATCAGCAACAAAAAGACAAGCGGCAAAGAGACCAGGCTCACTTGAGAAAAGGAAACACTGATTCTGACTTTCTGTTCTTCACTCAGTTATCTACAGCAAAGCATCTGTTATAGTTAACCAAAATTCCATACACAGCCCCCACCAGAAACACCAAACCCCTGTGCCCAGAAATCCACCCTAAGAATAAATTCTCATGGATGTATCACATCACTCACTTTCTCTAGTCACAAAGTAGCCACAGAAGTGCCATTACAGCAGCTACAAAGTCACCAACAGCAAAGGGATCTCCCTTGCCAGGAAAGGGATCCCCAGAGCCACCTTTCCCCACACAGGTCAGGCTGTCAGAGAGGCACGAGGGAGAACAGAACTGACTGTGAGACACCTTTCCCTCCCCAGAAACGGACAGAGCTCCTAAAACTCACACCGCCATGCTGAACCAGGGCATAGCCCAGAATGCACTCATCAAACCACAATTAATAACATAGCATGTCAGCTACTTAATTAAAGAGATTACATATGAAATGGACTTACCATCTCTGTCTTCATCATGAATATTCAGATACAAGTATTCCAGTCCTCTTCCTTTCTTGCCATGCTCTGCTCCCTGTATTTTAGCCATAAGTGTGGTTTTACCTGAACCATCATCACCTGCCAGTAAATTTGTACAGAAAAATAGACATCTTCAGAATTACACTGAACTATATAGAAGAGATTTCTTCAGAACTTGCTTAATTAATGAGAAGAATCCTTGTACACTTCTGAATCAGTTATTCACTGTTCTCTTTCAAGTATTTCAGCTAAATCCAGTGGCTTATAGCAGAACAATAACAATGAAGAACTATGTTATTCTCCCTTATTATTTAAAATATGCTATAAATAGAACAGTGTAAATCAAAGAGAAAGTAGATCTGTAAGAATGAAGACAAATCCACAGATCAAATTACATAACCCAATTATAACAAACCCATATGTCAGTTTGCTCCAATCGTTGTTTGAAATACACTTTGTTTCTACAAATAAAAAARCAAMAAACCAACACCCGACTGGTTGCACATGTTACTTACCAAAAACAAGAATATTCTTGCCCGATGGTAATTTAGATCTGGACCGTGTAGAGACTTCACTGAGTATGGAGGACCTGGAAAGGCAGCACAGCAGCCGCGTTATCCCGCGGCACCGAGCAGCGCAGGCTGTGACAGCACCATGAGCTCAGCACATCCGCACCCACAGCCCCGGCACATGCGGGCTATTTACAAACCGGGCTGCTGCCACAGCTGAAGGCCAATTTCACTCAGAACCAGCAAAAGTATCCCACCTCCTCGAGAAGAGCTGTTATGATTTCTAAAACGCAGTCAGGAACGTTTGAAGTTCTTCTCCCTTGTAGGAGGCCACATTACACTGCAGAACATCACTTTTCAACTAATTCTCATCACAATCGACTGCTGCATTCTATATACGCTTTTCTGCCCCTACGGGGATTTTTGAAAGCGTTCGTCAGAAATAAAAGCCGAAAAAACCAAGAGATCGCCTCTGCCGGAGCCGACTCCGCGGATGTCCCGCAGAGCCGCGGTCTCGGGCCCCGCTCTGCCCCATCCCTCTTCTGCCATCCCTGCGGCCGCGGGGCTCCGGTCACGCACCCCCGGCCCCCTCAGCGCTGCCCCCCGGCCCCACCGCCGCCGCCCGCGGGGCCCGAGCGCGGCCCTGCCCCGACCGAGGGCCCGAGCTCCGCTCCAGCCCGGCCGAGCCCGGGCTCGCCTCGCCGTGCGGGCTCCGGGAGGCCGCCGGCGCTCACCAGAGGTTCTGTCCCTCGTCCTCCTCGCCGGGCAGCTCGGCCCCGCCGGGCCCGTCCGGCCCCAGCAGCTTCTTCTCCGCCAGCACCGGCGCCATCTTGGAGCCGCCGCCACAAAGAGTGACCTCACCGGGCCGCGAGGACCCCGCCCCGCCCCGCCCGCCCGCGCGCGCCGCCGGCACCACCGGCCCCTC